GATACCGGCTGAGATCATCTCTCAATTGCATAACAAAAGGAAACCGTCAATTTCAGAGGGAGATGACGACAAGATACGAGTAGGGGAGGAAATAACGATTAATAAGAAAAGAAGCATAATTGATAAGAGATCCACAGAATAACGAATCATTAACTGGGAAGTCAGCAGTATACAGAGGAGCATCGGGTCGTTGTGCTCTGTAAAACGTTGGAATCTATTACGGCTTGAGTCACTAGCGGAAGCGACATGAAAATCTAAGCTAGGCTTCAAAAAAACGGATTAAGCTGGAATGGATGGTACTTTTGTATATTCAATATGTATGCAGGTTGTGATCGCGCGACTTGCCGACTAATGGCAATTGTTTAAACGTGTCGGAACAAATATATATGCACTGAGAGTTTAGTGATCATTCGGTCAGCAACGTAGCTTCGTGTCGACGTCCTTTTCCTGATCGGCAGATTTGGTTTGCCCTGTCAAAGTATTCCGTATGCGCGTCCCAGTATAATCAGATTTTCGCACCCTGCTTTATCAATATGGAAGGATCTACGTCTAGGAAGTACGAACCGCAGTTAAAAAAAACGAGAGGGAAAACAAGCCTTAAAGTAACCAAGAAACTAAGTTTTGATTCCCTAGTCATTTGTTAGCACTGAAATGAGGGCCTATTCGTTTATTGTGAGACTGGTTATGAACGTGCGGTACTCTACGCACGGTCGCCAATTCCGGTAAGAATATATGGTATTATCGTTACGTCGACCTCGTTTGCTCCTGCAACAAAAGGGCAAGGACAAACAGTCAACTTCGCGGGCATTCCCTTAATAAAGCAACACACATCCTCGATGGTCTCTTCAAACACGCGAAGGTAGTGCACGGACGTGTGTAAAATCTGATAATAAGGCTAACGAACAAGAAGATGACAATACGGGTTTTGCGCTGCTTTCTCTTTGGCGAACCAACAATCAAACAGCGGTAGGTCACCAAAGTGTTTGAAAACATTGCCGTACAAAAACGATAACAAGAAGCGAAATACAATAAAGTGAATGCTATAAACAGCGATAGCTGCTATAGAAAAATATATTGGCTCTAATAGCGTTGAGTCGTGCGACAAGCGATCCTGGACGAGGGCATACTTTCTGAAGTTACGCTTGAGTAGTTTAAATATTATTGCTCCCTTTACTCATATTATGCCCACACGTGTTTTAATACTATTATCCATAGGGTGGCTTGTGTGTAGGTACGGTATCGCTGGCTTTGGAGGGCTGAATTATACGCAGCTCTATTGCGCGGCTGTGCAGCTCGGATCCCATCGAAGGCAAGCATTTGGAATAATAGGCCAGTTATGGGTAACGATAGACATCCAGTGAGGCCGCAGTATTTTGTTATATTCGTTCGTTTGATTGACCTTTACATAAAATGTGTCCTTCTTAGGCAAATATTTTTCTGCGATATAAGAATAGTGGCACTGTGTGTGATACATACGATCTTTTGCGAGTATTTCCATAATTTGTGAAATTCTTAATAAACCAATATTGATTTTTAACACTGGAATTTTACTAAATAGTAATTTTGATGAAAGGCCTCAGTCTTATAAACTGGCTGAAACCACTAAAATAGCCCTTGAACCCCCCTCTCTAGGATGCATACACTCATAAATAAGGGTAAAATTGTCATAATATGTAACGTAACCATGCTGGGGCGATGTAGATGCTTTGTGTATAAGGTTAGTAAGTCTTAAAATTTGATTACGTCAATCCTCAAGCGGAACCATAGCCATAGTTCAACACTGGAAGTACTGCTAGTATGGGTATTCAGCTCATGTATAACTTTTCACGCAATGAAATGAAGTTAGTAATTGATTATGAAGAACCCGTTTACAATTTCACTTAAATGATTGTTAGCGAGTTTCTTTACCATTAGCTAATTGCTGTAAACCATCAGATTAAGTCGGTTAGTCATTGAAAATAATCAGATGTACATTTCGATCCGAAAGGGCAATGAATTCAATTCTAGGCTAAACTTCTGCCGAGGCTCAAAGGCTCGTAACCATTTCACAAGCAGATACTTCTACATGACGACGAACCAATCTCTCGATAACAAGCTGATTTCGGCACAAAACACAAGTATGTTTCCTATTCGTTCGCTGTAAGTTTCGTACGTTACATATCTAAATATTATTCACGGGTGATTTGTAACGTCTCTTTCCTGATTGTACATCTGGCCTTTTCCCTATCAGAGCTCTTCAACATCCCATCGGAGACGGCAGATTAGCGTTGATATTATCTAGGGAAACGTCTAATTAACAATATTAAAGCTAGCCGCTATACGACGCGCACTTCAGCGCATTCAGCAGAGCAGCGCGTGAATCACAGCGATTTGCCAGCGGATCACTGACTCAGCGGAAGGCCAGGAAGTGGCTCGTCGACAGAAAGCCACCGCAAGATAACAGAAAAAACAACACACATCGCTGATTTTTCTCTCATCTTTTATTTCTGTCTTTTTTCTCAGCCACCCATCAAGCTCCTTGTCCTGTTATTAGATAACAGAGTTTAGAAGGCATGGCTTGCCTTGTGTGTATAGTGTTGTACATTGTGCTACATGCTAAGGTGTATCTCCTTGTGCAGAATATCTATAGTTGAGATATTTAGTTAAACGCGATCGTATCGCTATGATCAGGAACTAAGCTGTACTCCAATACAGTATGTGTAAATTCTAAAGACTTCAGTGCGTTTTTAGTACAAGGGACGTTTCTTACCATATGCGCAATTATATATATATAATACTTTCCACATTTAAATATAGTCCGACGGCGATGCACACAACCAATTTAATATCGTCACGTTTTTTACCATTCAAGCTATATTGTAGTCCTCAGTGGCCTTGTGGTAGGACACGATGCCATATTCACAATGGGTTGCCGTCGTTTACGGTTGGCCATGTTAAGTGTAGTGTGGTCGCACAACTCCCAAATAATGGTGTGATAGGACTATAGATTTTTCCATACTATAGATAGAATTTTCCCATACTCAACTACGAGCGGCGCCATCCCTTGTCGTTGGGCTTATGAATTTGTTCAAGCTATTGTTTTGTTTAGTGAATCGTACTGGTTGTTGCCAAGAGAATGTTGGTAACTTTTCAACGGACTTAAATGTATCTACTGCTACGTTAAACAACTGTTCCACGCCGCTAAGTGAGACCAAACGGCTTTTCAGCTATTCAGTGATAGAAAGTGCCATAGCTAAGAGAACAAGAGCAGTCTTTACGTATTACGATAAAACAAACAGTATGGGTAAAGTAGCTGACTGAATTATGAGAAATATCTCCTACTATTGTTTACACTTAGTCTTTGACCGGCAGCAATAGAGTTTTTTGAATCGCTGTAGCTTCATCCAACATCGTTGTTTCTGCTAAATGAAAACCTGTACGTGTATTTTCTTCTTTAAAAAGACTGTTCTTTTTCCGTTCCCTCGCTGTACACTGTGTTCTTTACCATGCAGTTAGACCTACAATCTTTCAGTCTCCCTCTATAATGTTTTGGTTGTATTCTACTAATTATCTACAAATTATCGGTTTCTACTAGTACTGCCGCCATCACTCCAGCCCCGTTAGCGATTGATTCATCTGTCCATCAAAAACTATCGTTGCTGGTGCAGATAGCTATCAGCAGGATTGGACTTCATGAATGACCAACTACCGGCATCGAACGTACGCAAGTTCTTCGACCGCCGACATTCTTGTCATCATCGTGGCTTTTGCGCCACTGTCGCTCTTCACTTCAACGGTGATTAACCGCAGCAGGGCTCAGGCTTTTTGACGCCAGTAAATGGAACTTTCTGAGTCGCCTCAAGAGAAAGAGTCGCATCAACGTATAAACAACGGATAGATGATAAAGCAGATAGTGTGAATACACACAGACATAAGCAAAATCTTGACGAAGATAGAACAGCTTCAGATTAGCGCCTTGTTCGGCGTTAAAGTCTCGAGAAAAGCTGCCACACAGAAATTCGCAGTCAGTTTCAGTAACGAAACGAATGTTGTTTCTGCGACCGTTAACATTGTTGCTGATGCGGAGGTTGTCACTTAAGCGATTTCAGACAAACTGAAAAATCACCGTCCCCAGATTAATAGGTGACCTGCCATTGCCGTTGCTCGCGGAAGTGTTTTTTCTACCACGCAATAATAACGCACAGATCTGTATAGCAATGATGATAGACAGTGAGATCGGCTTGGCTGCGGAGAAGTTCCTACGGGAATAGGTCGAGGCTTTATAAAATGACACCTGTTCTATATACAGAATTCATAAACATTTCTACGGAATCTATGGCGAAAGAAAAATGTGAGTTATCTTCATTTTTGAGCAGAGTATTAGTACGACCAATCACCCACGCTTTTTCAATTTACGTTTGTCAAGAAATGTTGAGGTTTGCATCCGTTTGCATCAAAAGTATCCAATCGAATTTCATATTTATTTTACACTGTAGTATACGCCAGCACAAACGATCCAGAAAGCTACATTCTACGTTCGAAGACGAGCGAGCTAAGAGAGCTCCTGATTCACCTCATGAATATCTTCTCAGATATCCACCAGTAACGTAAAGTCTTAGATGACAAATAAAAGAATAAGCAATATTACTAAAAACCTAACAGTCAATTATTAAATTTATGAAGCAATTTGCTTGAAAAGTTTAGCGTCAAAGGATTTTGTACGGCGCTAAGAAGACGGGACCCCCATCGTACCACCTGGTATCTGTGCCTTTCAGAAGAAATTCTACGAGGCTAATTATTGTTAACATATCAACTATATTCTCGTACCAAGCTAGAATTTCCGTATCTTCACTAATATCATGGACGACAATAGGACTACCTAAGGAACAACGAAATTGCACAGACCCTGACTTACGGAGCGGTTAATTGCAGTATTACACTGCCATACAAACCGAAACATTCTGGCTGTGGTAGTACGAGGTCATTTGAAATTTCCTATCGTCTCGATGATTTGCACTTACGTTCGTAGTAGTAGTTGGTTTTTAGTCCTTCGCTTTTGTGAACAAAATACGAAATGATCTTGAGGATCTACGATACGTTCTTTTTGTTGAACTCAACAATTTTCGTTGTTAACAGTAGCGGTAGCGAAATGTCATTGGTAATCAGTACGAACTGAGAGCTGGCCACTGATTTTACAGGGCGATGTTACCAGGTAAAGGGGAAGAGTGTGAAAGCGACATAGCGTCAGCGTTGCTCACCACCAAAGTCCATGTGGCGAGGGCAACTCACACGAACTTAGCGCAGGTCCCGCCTGGCCCCGCTTTGCTAGAACAAAGTAGAGCCAGCGACAAGAACAGCAGCAGTGCTCACGTATCTGGTTGGCAGGCAGCTAACGTCAAAACAGCCATATCTAGCCTCTCCCCTACGTAACGGCGGCTTGTCAACTCAGGACAACAGGCGATGCTGAAAGCAATCGCGAATGCCGTAATCGGTAGAAACCGTAAACCGGCCCGCTCTACTGGGCCAATCAATACCCCAACAATCACAGACTTGGCCAACTGCACTAGCGATAGCAACGCCGTAGCCCCAATCGTTTGTGTTATTAACTGACAAACATAAGTTACAATGTACGGAACCAGAAAACGTCAGCAGGGAGATAACGTAAAAGCAGTTACTCGATTGTCAATCATCGGATGGACAGGGAATAAAATGCTGCAGGTACTGCGATGCCAAACACAGAAGTGGGAAAAGTGTAACTTCTACGCTGATAATGTTATTACAAAGATAGCAACATTCAAGGAAGATGATTCCTTAGTTTAGACGATCACTGTGGAAAAGGCAAGTCACTCACTGAGTAAATCGGTTAAAAGAAACTTATTTTAGATGTCGACAGCATTTCATCTTACACATATCTATATAACTGCCTGCTAACTGGGTTCGATAATCGATTCAGTTTACTGGGCACTTTCGGAATGGGTCTAACCCAACCGCATAACGTGACTAAAACTGTTGAATTCTAAATATGTTAGATAGAAACAAAACCTAATTGTGATGCCCACTTCCTGATGTCAAAAGTAAAACATGCTTTCTTATTCATGATTACTAGGTATCATACACCTGACTTGATATAAAAAAAAAGCTTGATAAAAAAATTGAGCAGTTCAGGCCGATGTGGCTGTAGTTATAAAGACTGATAATGGGCTACAAGACTTCGAGGACCCCTGGAAACTTTCGACAGAATTTATACTACAATCAGCTCTCAATTTCACTATGCAGAAGTGTTAGAGCTGGTGTCGACTGAAACAAATTTAGCTCCTCAGCCACTGAGACACGATTACAACAGGAAATTTGTTTTTGGGCGGGATGGTTTTTAATTTAGAGAACCTAATACATCTTCAGATTTGATGGCCAGATAGGCGGCTTCTACATCATTACGAGGCAAACTTTTTTCCAGTTGGATCCGGCCGCCTTAGCCTGCCAGATACAATAACACAATAGAATCTAAGAAAACAAGGATCTGGTAAAAGGAAAACACCGTTTCCGTGTTCATAAAATCAACTGCACAAAAACTGTTTGACAACCCTGAATATATCTGTAGGTCGTAAGTAGAATGTTTTTCGTTACTCCAATTTAGCTTGGGCAAAATTGGTCAAAAATTCCTTGGATTACCAACACAATAAATGGATATAGTATCTGTGCAAGATATCATAAGCCATCTTGAAGCAAAATAAAGCGTTTAGTAATTGTGTTATCCATGTTTAAAGTTTCCATTTCGAAGACTATGCACTTAACGGGTGGTCGATTTCGCTTTGGTACTAATTACGATGTCGTGCAGAAGGTGATCGGCCGAAGCACAATAGCTTCACAGATAACTTGCGATGCACTCGGAGCGTGGTATCATAACTTCTGAAGCTGCTTCTGCTAATTGTAATAAAAACTACATAGTCAAACCTGTAGATTTTTCCTTCAAATTGCCTTCACCTACGTTTATAAGGCCAACAAACTCGAATATAGTTTCGAGTGTGTGTAGGATGCGTACGTTAAAGTACAGAAAACTGCGTCCTAGTAAAATTCATATTATTATTAGCACTATCCCTCTCTGAAATCTATTCGAGCAAAGATTCCAACAGCTCATGGATGGCTTGTAGCATGTGGCTTCAGATGTAAAATTTTAAGGGAGTGCAGGGATGAAGCAGAAGTAAATTAGGACCTAATATCGATTCCTCTTTTATCGACAAACTGTCCCGTGTGATCACCGGCGACTCCTCAGATATTACGAGTAGGTGATTGTTAATTTTGGTTCTGCTACGTTTCTGGGGCGCCTCCGATTTAAATTCAATGGACTCCTATCTTGAATCAGATCTTTTTTTGCGGTCACCTTGAGCACAACAATTAGCGGTGTTTAATCTGCTGGCATAATTCGAGCCGTTTGCATTCGTAGGTAATTTCTTATATCATTATGGTATACGTATGTACATATACACCGTGCGGAAACAGTTACGGAGCTTGTATATATATATATATATAAAATATGCATTTTGTATTTCCTTTAACTGTTCGATAACAAGTAGACACTTCATGGTATAGAAATAGCCCACAAAACGCTTAGTTACAAGTGTTGGCCAATTTTACTTAGCTTTATTGGTTGCATTCAATGTCCACAATGTATTTTTTGCCGTATATCGAAAAGATATTCGAACATACTGCTGCCAGCTGATTTCAAGTGGCCACTCGGACGGGTTTTTCTACCCTAATATATGGTTTCTATTGTTGAAATGACGGACTTCTACTGTGTTTTATCATATAAAATAGTATGCCTGTTAACTGCACTGCTTGTGACAGTGAAGCCCCGAACATTGTATAGCTCTGCAAAGTAAAGTAACATCGAACTTCGAAGGGTTTCAGAGGTCAAATATGAGTGGGCTAAGCATCAGGTACCTGTCGCGATCCCCACGGAAATTGGATATGCAGTTGTCAGGGCACAAAACGCATCTGAGACCAGAAACGAACTCTTGTGAACACCCAAATTTTTTCAGTGGTTATTTCAAGACGTTACGGAAGTGGCAAAATAAAGACATGAATCTCCAGTTCAGGTGCGAAAAACCAATATAGGATTATACTATTCTTGATTAGGCTTTATTGGCTGTAGTCATGTCAGCGGAACTTCTCTAGATAAACTGTACAGCTCATTGATACTTAATACTGGCAAATCTTCAGTCAAAATTAAATAGAATAGAAATGAATGGAATGCTAAAATCGAGATGTAGATGCAAACAAGCGGATTCCTCGCGATAAAAACGAACGCCACAGGAAAATTTGCCCTTAAACGTGGCCATCTTTTCTCGAAGTGACCTTTTTCAAAAACGCGAAAGCCCTCAATGCGAGCCAAAAATTGTCTCTGGCAGACGCTCGATCATCCTGCTGTCCTCCATCATGTACATTTTTCATCGGTCGATTGGCAGACACGTTCCACCAGATTGACATTTCAGTACGAATCAGTGTACTCCTTACGCTAATAGCGAATAGAAAGAATCCATACAGAACTGCACGTTCCTCTCGGCGCCACCCTAGGAGGTACGCTAGCCATATAGCGACTAGCACAAGTCTGCTGTTAGCAGAACGATGAGACCAAAGCCCTCGTTTCGACCTTTTTGCACTGCCTGCTTGCCCTACTTCCTTTATTTTTTTCGGTCTCCTCTGTTATACATTTGAATTGTGTCGCCTCTGTTTAGAAAAGCAATTACTTTACTTTTTTGGATTTTATAAATCTTAATGCCTGTTGATCTACTATCGGTATTTTGCAAGATCAGCTTCTCCTGTAAAGTTCTACAATGAACTGCTCAGATGTAAGCTAGTGACAGCAATCAACTGATGTCTATTATTTCGACGCAGTCAAAAAGATACGTAGTAACCACTTATCTCACATTTAATGGCTTTAGAAAGGTAATCGGGATCATATAATTCACGGACCTTTTACTAACAATGTAACCGAATAGGTATTTTGAACTTTATGTCCGGTACTGCCGTAACTAAGCGTTGCTTCAACAATTTAACCGGGTTGTTGTTTGGTTGTATTGCAGCGAAAAATGTTCGTCCCTAATGAACGTTGAGGGCTATTGATTACAGAAAATATCGAGACTGTTCTTCATTCACGATGAATTAACAAAACCAAATACTCTTTGCGTTTATCAAATTTTCAACAACTAACGTCTTCTAATTACAATCGTTGCAATAAATAGCTTACAGAACGGGCGAATCAAACCCTGTTCGGGAGCACAGCCACTGCGATGGCCAGGTGCGAAAAACCTTGCTGTTACATCTGCCGAACCTAAAAGATTAGGAATGGTTAAACGGCGAAAGATTATAAAGTATGGTTACTTTTGACGCCTTCCTTCCCGCTCTGTTTGCGAGAACGTCGGTTGACATCATCGTACTGATAGAGCAGTAACTTGCAAAACTTTTTGTGTTGGAAAGGCCAAACGGAATGAAACAAAGCGTCTAGGGGTCTTAACAACAACGGAACGTCCGTCGTTAAATATATCTGCAAATAATTTGATCAAAGGTCTACAAAGGTTACCTAATTATCGACGTGTTATTTTGTATCGAATGAGACCTGGGACAAGAAATATATTGTAACTCCCATTACTGTTTGGGATTAAGTCACTCTTAACGTGCTATCAGGTGCCTTTAAGGATGAATTGTTATTTTCAGCCTGGTCATGGCACACCGTTGAGTCAGGTAAATTGTGTTTACAAAATTCAGCGTCGGTTTTTCTACTATGAATTTCCTTTCTTTTAAAGATCGTTTCATGTCGTCTGTCTAGCCTTACTTTCAGACGTAAAATCGCAGATAGATGCAAACGTATACTTTGTGTTTATAACAAATAGAAAAAATAGGTTGACCCAACTGTAAGCCTATTCATCACATAGAACTACAGAGGTAGGGCTACATGTCTTTATGGCTAAGGTTTCCTGCATCGAAGTCATCCTTTATATGGAACCGATGTAAAGAATAGCCATTGCATTATTTCAAGGGCACGTTTGGATACGTTACGCTCTGTTTGCGACATAGTATTTTCAATAGATCTGATGTGTTTTTCCGTCTGTAGAGGCAGCCCAAAGGGCAGAAGTCAAGGGTTTTCGTCCAACTAGTTGCCAATGGAGCGGAGGCTGTGGCCGTGAGAAATTTCATGATCGAGTGGAAAGGCCAACTGAACCTTG